GCTCATGGCCCCCGGAAGGGTGGCCCCCGGCCCCTCCCACAGGGGCTCCTTGGTGCCAAGAACGCCGTGTCGCCGCGATGGGACACTTGTGTGTGCCACTGCCCGTGACCGCACGGCTGCCACCTCAACACTGCCTCACAGTCCAAAACAAAGCACAGGCACGGGCGACCCAAAGCACACGCCACTTGCAAGACACCCCGCCAGGAACGCCTCTGCAGAGACAGAGAGGGGAAGAGAGGAGAAAGTGAGGGATCACCTCCAAGGGGAGGACGGCCACACCACAATCCCTTCTCCTCCACCCTCCTCTCGGGATTTTGGGCACACACGTGCACACACCCAGCATGCATTTTAAGCTGCCTGGCCCGGGACTCGAACTGCAGTCAATACATGGGAGTCCAGCGCCTTAACCATTACGCACCTGCTGGTCCCAGTCGCATTCGTTTTCACACTGAAAGTAAGCCAGATGCTCAAAAGTCAGCCCAGCCTTCAAATCCACATTCAAAGGTCTGCTCATCACTTCCTTTCGACCTAACATCCAGCCTGCTGACTCGCCAGGAGCCTGGGGCTGGCAGACGCCCTCCCCCCCAATCAGTTCACAGTCCCAGCGCGACGGGCCTGACCTGCAGAGCCCGGGCATGTCTGATCCCACGGCTGGGCCGTATGTCTGGCTGGCCTGCCTTCCACGGGACAGACCCGACGGTGTGCAGCTGTGCACAAGACAGCCAGCTGGACAGCCCTTCCCCTGCTCCTCAGCTAGCACTCAGGCCTGACGTCACTGGACGGCCTGAACTGGGGAGCTCCCAGGGGCCTCAGCTCGTCACATCCATGCCTTGTGGTATGGGCCGGGCACAGGAACCCCGGCGGCAGCCCAGTGGTTTTGTGAGGGTCGACGCGCCTCTGCTCTGGGGCAGCGTGGAGGAAAGGGCTTCACAGACCCAAACCGCCAGCCCAGGCCGGGTTAGGTGCTGACGAGCGATAAGAGGCAGGGCCGGCACCAGGACTGACCCACGGCACCTGCCCGACCAGTGAGCAGCACCACCAGGCCCTGCCCAGGGCTCTTTTGGGGGCCAGGGCCGAAGAAGGCCCACCAGACAGAGTGCTGACCCCACGATGCTGCCTTCCACAGCGCTCTTGGAAACACAGCTCCCAGGCCTCTGCAGCGGGGCCTCCTCCCTGGGAGCTGGGGCAGCTCTCGGGCACTCACCCGACCTGCCCGAGAGCTAGGAGCCCTGCCAGGTCCACCGGAGAGTGTGTGCAAACGCCATCCCTGGCTCCTCTGAGAAGACCAGTCCCCGCCTGGCAGTGTTGGCCTCTCCCCCGATGGCACCAGCCCTCCAAAGACTGGCCGCACCAGGTGATGTCTTGTCGGCAGCGTCCCCAGCGCCGAGGAGCTACGAGCAGCTCAGGGACTAGGCGAACGTGACCCCACGCATGGCACCTGCCGATTGCCTGGTCAGAGCGACCCATTCCCAGGCGGCACCAGCAGCAGTGGAGACGGTGCATCTTCCGTGCTCCTGGTGGGCAGATAAACCGAAGGGTCTCTCCCCACCCCGCCTGCAGGGTACCAGGTCAGGTATGTCCCTGAGACCCTGTGGTCCCCACCAGTTCCCCACCCGCTGCGGCCCTGTGCACACCCTACCTGCAGCCCCACAGTCTGCAAGCGGTGACATTTTCCACAGTGGAAGCACTGTGGGAGCCACCTTCCGGGCAGGCTTGGCTAGGTGACGCCAAGGGAAGCAGGCACTCACATGACCTGCTGTGCAAAGAAACACGGCCATGAGGTTTGGGCAGTGGGAGGGAGGGCTGCTGTGGAGGGAAGCTGTCAGGTGTCCCGCAGTGACCCTGGGCTGGGGTGAGCGTGGGCGAGCAGCACCAAGCCCTGTGCCCACTGCAGGCGGTTAGAGCGGTGCGGATGCCTGGCCCGGGCACCAGCCTCAGCTGCCCTCCCTGCAACAGCGAGCAAAGAACACGTCTGGGATTGTATAAGAATGACAACCTTCCTCCGAGGGTCACAGAAGGGTCCACCCTCGTGGAAGAAGACCGTGCAGAGAAAAGCTGGACCTGGAGGACAGCCCTTCCCCGGCATCCTTTCCTCTAGCCCCACGAC